TGTCACGCGTCTCCTGGCCACTGTTGTCACTGACCCTTCCTTTGAGACCACTGCTGCGTCTGCCTTAGTTGCTGAGCTTGTCGACTTTGCTGCTCACTGTCGTCTAGACTACGCCGCTAGCCTTGTTGCTGAGTCTGAGTCTGTCTGTCCTCCGTCCATTGGGGGTGAGTGTGCTCTTGACACGGACGTCCTTGAGGACAGGCAGGAGGACTTTGAGTGCTTTGCAGCTGCTGTACCTCATCTCGTGTCCATGCTGATTACACCTGAGGGAGACCGGATGCACCAGACATTCCGACCCCGCGCTCTTACGCAGAGGCGATAGAGGGTCCCTACTCCTCTCAGTGGCAGTCAGCCATGGACGCAGAGATGGCATCCTGGAAGTCCACAGGCACTTACGTCGACGAGGTTCCCCCTTCTGGGGCGAACATCGTTAGCGGCATGTGGATTTTCAGGGTGAAGCGGCCGCCGGGTTCTCCGCCTGTCTTCAAGGCGCGTTACGTTGCTCGAGGCTTCAGTCAGCGAGAGGGAGTTGACTTCTTCCAGACCTTCTCCCCGACCCCGAAGATGACCACTCTTCGGGTTCTGCTGCACGTCGCTGCTCAGCGTGACTACGAGCTTCACTCTCTTGACTTCAGCGCTGCTTTCCTACAGGGCAGCCTGCACGAGGAGATCTGGCTGCGCCGCCCACCTGGCTTCACTGGGTCGTTCCCTCCTGGTACCCAGTGGAGCCTCCGGCGGCCAGTCTACGGTCTCCGCACTACACTTGCGGCTCTTGGGTTTGCTCCTTCCACTGCTGACCCGTCGCTGTTTCTCCGCACCGACACTACTCTGCCGCCGTTCTACATCCTCGTGTACGTCGACGACTTGGTCTTTGCTACTGCTGACACTGCTGTACTCGCCCACGTGAAGTCGGAGCTGCAGAAGAGACACACGTGCACAGACCTGGGTGAACTGCGCAGCTATCTTGGGTTGCAGATCACCCGGGACAGAGCACGGCGCACTATTACCTTGACCCAGTCACACATGGTGCACCAGGTCCTTCAGCGCTTCAACTTCACGTACTCCTCGCCTCAGGCCACTCCTCTGTCTACTCGCCACTCGCTCTCAGCTCTGCCTTCGGATGAGTCCGTAGAGCCGAGTGGCCCGTGCCTAGAGCTTGTTGGCTGCCTCATGTACCTGATGACCTGCACTCGACCTGACCTGGCATACCCTCTTAGCATCTTGGCACGCTATGTTGCTCCTGGGAGACACCGACCAGAGCACATGGATGCAGCTAAGAGGGTGTTGCGCTACCTGTGCAGTACGTCGGGCATGGGGCTCGTGCTTGGAGGACGGGCTCGAGTTGTCCTCACTGGTCACGCAGACGCTTCTTGGGTTGACGACTTGGCTACGCAGCGGTCGTCACAGGGTTACACCTTCAGCCTTGGTTCCGGCTCTGTTTCGTGGAGGTCTACCCGCTCGTCTTCTGTTCTCAGCTCCAGTTGTGAGGCTGAGATCTACCTTGGGGCCATGGCTGCACAGGAGTTACGCTGGCTCACCTACCTGCTGACCGACCTGGGAGAGGCGCCTCGTTCTCCTCCAGTTCTGTACGTCGACAGCAAGGCCATGCTGGCCTTGTGTCAGGAGCACAGACTGGAGCACAGAACGAAGCACATTGCTCTGCGTTACTTCCTTGCTCGAGAGTTGCAGCAGCGTGGTCAGCTTCGTCTTGCTTACGTGGCCTCTCGGGCCAACACTGCTGATATCTTTACCAAGGCACTTCAGCCTTGTGATCATCAGCGCTTTTGTACTATGTTAGGTCTTGTGCCTACCTGGCCTCACTTGCTTACCTCTTGACTTTGCTTGTACTGTGATCTATATATACCTGCACCTGCATGCTTACCTTTGCTAGGTTGAGATCACTATCTTGCTTGTTCACCTTGATTTATAATCCTGCATGTGAACTGGCCTTGTGGCCTTGTACTTGTGCTCAGAATGCGTGGTGACGTTGTGATCCACCCTGAGCTTGACCTTGCCTTGTTCTCTTGCTTGTCCCCCACTTTGCCTATGGGGGTGTGTCAGAACTATATTGTAGGCTATAGTGGGGCACTCCTTATGGGGTACAGTACTGTTAGGTTTTGCCTATACAAACCTTGTACTGTCTTGTTTCTAGTCATTCTCGTTTCCTACTTTGTAACATCAGGGACAAAGCCAAGGAAGACACAGGGAATGGTGCGGGAGGAGAGCTTGTCCGCGGACGTATCGCGGACAAGGGCACGAGCACCCCAGACCCGGAAACGCGACGCATCGCCAACCTCCCCCGTCCAACGCAGTGTGGTCGAGGTCTCCGGCAAGGAGACACGGGGCCAGAGGTTGAGCTGCTGCGCGGCGTACCGGACCGCAAACGGCCACAGAAAATGGGGAGCCGCCGCATGGATCAAGGAGGTACGAGCGACCTCCATGACTAAGCCAATGCGGCGCTCAGCAACCCCATTTTGCTGCGGTGAGCCCGGAAGCTTGAACGACTGCTCGATGACCTCCCCCTGACAGAAGGCCCGCAAGAGGTCAGAGGTGAACTCACCACCTCTGTCAGAGTGCAGACGCAGGACAGGAAGGTCCAGGCGGAACCTGCGGCGGAGCTGGAGACGAACTGCTCGGATCCAAGGGATCAGGACAGCAGGGACCTCACCCTTGGTGCGCAAGGGGAAGACCGTGGTGTAACGCGAGTAGTCGTCGACAACCAGCAGAAAGTACCGCTCACCGCCCTGTCCACGAACGCGGGCTGGGCCCCACACGTCCAGGTGGAGGGTCTGCAGAGGAGCCTCTGTCGGGGGAAACGAGGAGGAGTGAGGAGCGGCGCGCTGCCGCCCCTCGACGCAAGGAAGGCAGGGCGGCGTAGGCGAGGCAGGGAGGGGAGGGAGAGACCTGGGAAGACCAGACACAAGGAGGCGACGGTGCATGCCACGGAGACGTGGCAAGGAGGGGTGACCCATGCGGTGGTGCCAGAGAAGAGTCTGGTGCGACAGGGAGCGACACTCACAGGGGGAGGCTACCAGACCTGTCGCAGACACCTGACCAACAGCAGCTACCTGTGGAGACACAGTCGTCAGTGTGTAAAGGCTCGACCCTGGCCGACGGGTGAACGTGGCCAGGTGACGGCCAGTCCTGGAGCACGTACAGATCGCCACACGCTGTCCTCCATGGGTAAAGGTGTCAACCCAATGATCCTGGAGGACGGCGTTGCTCACCAAGTTCGTCGAGAACGAGGGGAGGTGGAGACGTGACAGTGAGCCAGACGGAACCGCCGGGCACGGAAGCCCAGTGGTGGACCGTGCAAGAATTGGGCCCCCTGAGGGGTCAGCCTGAGAGAGTGCAACAGGTGCAGGGAGTGGTGTGAGTGCGGTACTGTCACGGAAGAAGCAGCGGGAAGCACCTGAGTCAAGCGTGAAGGTGTGCAAGGCCTCAGCAGGCGCAGTACCTGAGAGAGCAGACTCACCAGCACCTAAGGCAGCAACCTCACTAGCACCTAGAGCAGCAACCTCTATACCGGGGTCGTACTGCACACACTGGTAACAGTCACTCTCAGCACCACCAGGCAAAGCAGACATGGCAGTAAGGATGGCGTCATAGTCTAAAGCAAAGACATCAATGCCCGACCTAAGCAGCTCAAGCTGGGGGTCTCAGCCTCGTCGCCAAACTCTGCGTGCCATGCGTCAGTCAAATAGGCGAAGCAGCGGGACTGTGCGTGACCAGGTGTCCCACAGGTCTGACCAGCTCGACGACCTGTGCGAATGACGTACGGACAGCGACCAGGACTCGGAGACGTCCCACGCTGGTAAAGCCACTTACGAAGCTGCTGGGGCGTAAGGGTCGGACGCCGCTGTAGCTGCATCTGGCCACCGCCAGAGACTCCACACCACACAGCTCCACAGTGACTGCTACTACGGCCGCCACGACTCCCACTGCCGCCACCACCGCCGTCACCTCTCCCACTGCGACTACAAAGTGAAGTCATGGCGGGCAAGCTAGGAGGAGCGCGACCTCTAGGGCAGTACGGAGTGAAGGCAGTAGTACGAGTAGCAGCAGCAGTAAGACGAACAACAGAGCGGCTCGTGAGGCTAGGCTGCAGCCCCTCCAGCCCTCCTAGCAGCACCTCCACCAGCAGCAGCAGTAGCACGAGCAGAAGGGCGGATCGTGTCGGGTGGCGCGGCTCGGCCTGGGCGGCGCGGGCAGCAGGGCACGCGCTGTGGAGGGCAGCAGGGCGCGGGGCGCTGGCTGCAGCAGGGCGCGACGCCCAGGGCAGCAGGGCGCGACGCGCGGGCTGCAGCAGAGCGCAACGCGCGGGGCAGCAGCGCGCGACGCGCGGGCTGCCGTAGGGCGCGACGCGCGGGGCAGCAGCGTGCGACGGGCGGGCTGCCGTAGGGCGCGACGCGCGCGGGGCAGCAGCGCGCGACGCGCGGGCTGCCGTAGAGCGCGACGCGCGGGGCAGCAGAGCGCGACGCGCAGTCTGCCGTAGGGCGCGACGCGCAGGGCAGCAGGGCGCGACGTGCAGATGCCACAGGGCGCGGGCTGCAGCAGGACGCAGGGCAGGGCGCTGGCGCAGGGCAGGGCAGGGCGCTGGAGCAGGGCAGAGCACTGGCGCAAAGCACGGCGCTGGCGCAGGGCAGTGCGCTGGCGCAGGGCAAGGCGCTAGCGCAGGGCAGGGCTCCAGTGCGCGCAGGGCAGGGCAGGCCAGGGCGCGCGCTGACAGCGCAACGCAGGGCAGGGCGTGGGGTAACGCGGTAACCGTAGTCGATCACTAGGTAATGGTGGGCCCGAAAAAACAAAACGGTCCTACGGACCTACTGCTCTGAAACCATGTTAAGAATTAACAAGCAGGAATGAATGTAAACTATCGAGAGAGTTGGTACAAGTACAAAACCTAAAGGGGTTGTACCCCATATTGGCTACCCCACTATAGCTTACCCATTATACCATAGCATATATATAGTTTGACACTCATGTCGCGGAAGAGCTGGTGCATGAAGGCATTGATGTGCGCGTCACACTCCGCCTGCACCGCCACCACCCGCACCACCTGCGCCGCCTCCACGGCGCGCATGGCCCGCACTGCGCGCTCCTCCTCCCTCCTGCTCTCCTGCACGGCACGCATGGCACTGGCTGCCACGCCCCTCTGCTGCCGCCTGAGCTCCTCCCTGATGGCGCGCTTGCCCTCGTACAGCCCCATGGCCCGCACTGCCCCCCTCACCACGCCCCGCAGCGACCACCCCGCCTCCGCTGTGCCGCCACCACCACTTCCCACTGCCACCCCTGCTGCTGCCTCACCCTCTGCCACTGCTGCCACTGCTGGTGGTGTTGCTGCCACTGCTGCAGCTGCTGCTGCTGATGGTGTTGGTGCCACTGCCACTGCTGCTGCTGCTGCTGCTGCTGATGGTGTTGGTGCCACTGCCACTGCTGCAGCTGCTGCTGATGGTGTTGGTGCAGCTGCTGCTGCTAGTGCTGCTGCTACTGCTGCTCCTCCTGCTGCTTTTGCAGACTCTGTTCTCAATGGTGGTGCTGGTGCAGGCTGTCCCATCCGCCTCAGCCCCTCCCCACCACGGGCCTGGCCTCACCATCTCCTCTATCCGAGCCCTCGTTCTCATCCTCAATATACCGCCGCTGCTCGTTTCGCTACAAGGCTTCAACGTGCTACAGCTCTTCCTCCTTGTGAACCTCATCAACACCACGTCCTTCCTGCCTCTGCTGCTCGGCGTGCTACAAGGCCCCCTCTCTCGTGTCTGCATCACCCCTGCCTCATCCGCAACTGGCTGTGCCTCGGGTCTTCTTGCTCTTGTGGTCTGGGCCAAGGCACAGCAGCATCCCGGGGAGACCTATGTTGAGTCTTTGGCTAGGACGTTTCTAGATGCATACGATTATCCTCCCTATCTGATTGCTGTAGGGATTTCCGCTGTGGGGATGGCTGTAGGTGCGGGGTTAGAATGGTTGGTTCGGTGTTAATGGAGATTGGAGTACCCTGCTTATGACCTGGATGATGGTAAAGGAGCAGAGTTTGAAGAGACTAGGACTTTATTAGGACATTGATGTAGTTTTTTGTGTTGTTGTATGTACTAGGTTTCAGTCAGATGTACCGTTATCTTTCATAAACCACGTATAAAACTTTGTCGCTTGGTTGGAGCCACCCGTGCAGCTAGAGCGGAGATACCCAAAGAAGGAGCATGTTTAATTTGCTAGGTTTTCATTTCTATGATAGTGTTACGGGTGCAATGGAATGAAGTAGCGAGGATTGCACGAAGGTGTCAAACGAGTACAAAGCGAAGGCATGAGCGAATACTTATAAGCGAAACATGCAAACGGTAACGCGGTGCGTGCGAGCTAGCTAGTGCTATGCTGGCAGCGAGGTTCGGACTGTCAAACTATATGCTTAATGTTTAGTTAGGCTGTATAGGGGCTAGTTTTAGGGGGTAGAGCTTTTCCCTCGACTTTCTAGTCTTGTACCCATCTTGACCTAATACAATCACACTTGCCTATGTATCTTAACATGGTATCAGAGCAGGTTCTTAGGACCTAAGATTAAGGGCCCACCCGTTACCGTGTTACCAACTGCCTTGCCTGCCTGTGTGCCTAGTCTCCTGACCGCGCGCGCCTCAGCTGCGCGCGCGCGTAGCTTTTTTTTAGCGCGCGCACTGCTGCTGCCAGCCGCGTCGCGCCCCGCACGTCGCCTGGTTGTAGGAAAGAATGTATTGACGGGCCAAAGGCACGAAGCAAGGCAATCTCTTCCATGCGAATGAGGCATTCCCCACTTGTGATTGGGCGAACACCTCCGTGTGGTTTTGCAAGGGCCAGGAGACGGGCCTGGGCAAGGAAAGGTAGTGCAGATTTGGGCATTGGGCCGTAGCAGAATGTTGGTGACCCCATGCAGGTGCTCGCAGATGTCCAGATTGGTGAACGTGATGCGACGTCTTTCAAAATCTTTAAAGTCATCCCTGAGGGGCCTGCACCGACCTCGCTGGGGCAATCGGCAAGGATCCTCATGAAATCTTCAAAGTTATGTGTAAGCGATTCAAAGTTTGGGAAGTTTTTTTACCAGTCAGGGAGCTGGCTTGTAACGGGGGGGGAGAGGGGAGGGGGGGGGGGGGGGGGGGGGAAGGGGGGGAGTGTTTCACTTCGAGACTGGTTACAGTTTTGTTGGTTCTTTGCTGGCAATAGGGGTGCTGGTATTAGTGCTCGCACTGCTTTGCCCAGGTTTCCGCGCCTTGTCAGTTCTACCCATGCTGCTTGTCCGTGTGAGTTAGGGTTGGGTTGGTTGGGTGGGGGTAGGTCAAGTGCCCCTTTTGCCTCGTTGTACAGTTGCTGCCAATCTCCATATTTGAATGCTTCAAACCGCTTCTTCCCTTCCCTCCAACCCTCCCCTGCCGGACAGCTTGAAGGGTTAAGTGTGGCAGGAATATGAAGAGTCGCCAAGCTGCGTCAGAGTTGGTGTCACGGGAGAGCCTGAGCAATGGAGGCAGCCAGCACACAGCGAACTCCTCAGCCAAGGCGGGAAGCCTGCAGGTACTCGGATCCCCCTCCTCTCCCTCTCACTCTCCTGCTCCCTCTCCCTCTCTATTTCTTTCCAGCCACACCACCATCAGCAGCAGCAACAACTTCAGCAATTGCAATAACACCCGCAGACGCAGCAACAACAAGATTGGCACCAGCAACCACAGAAGCAGCAGCAGGCGAGGAGGCGGTGGTGGGAGTCCAGCTGTGAGTGCCCGTGCCGCACCTCATCTTCCAAGGCCACTCCGCTGTGAGTCCTTGCGCGCCTTGCCACGCCAACCCGCCACGCGCGTGCACTGTTAGTTCAGTTTGGAAAGTCGCCACGCGGCTAGTTAGCGCATGACACGCATAGCATTTCGTCGATTAATCGTGCTCTCACGCCGCTGCATCCCATGCATGTGCGCCGTTCCTATCCTCTCACCGTCTCTCCCGTACCAACCGTACGACCTCGCGCCTGCCCTGATCACGCGGATCCGCGATTTCTCACTCGACGCGCCCCTTTTGAACCCTTCAGCGCTTCTTCCTCCGGCCCCCCACGCACGTCGCTCCCGCCCGCCTGCCAGGGAACCACGTGTTCTGAGACATCCCCAAACCAGGGATCCACGTGGTTGGAGGTGGCGCTGTTGCGTCTATTTGTCCTTCGAGATTGGTGATGCGGCTATTGTGCCAATCTCCCCCTATCTCCTCTCTTCCCGCTGTGTCATGCCCCCCGCCCCCGCCCTCTCTTCCCCCCCCCCCTCCTTGTGGTCCTATGGCCTCCATGCAGGCCTTTCTGTCTTGCCTCCTGCATTTCTCACCCCCATTGTTCCTACTACTGCTTTCAAGCCCCTGCTGCAGCCAATTGCTGTGGTCGTGATGCAGTCCGTCACGTGTCCCATGGCAAGGGAAGCAACACATGCACTGTACTGCACCCACTCACTTCCCTAACCTACCTCAGTGCCCTCCCTGTGTGTGGCTTCCTTCACAGCTTTCTGGAGCACAGCTTGGGGTGGCAGCCATACGAGGTGGCAGGCAGGTGCACACCTGGTAGCATGCATCGTGGCTGCAATGATCACATGGCACCTCTCCGCGTGCTCGCGCCAACCACCACCTGCTTGACACCCCTCCACTCACCCTGATATAGTGTTGTTAGTTTGGTGGCGTATGTCAAACTATATGCTTAATGTTTAGTTAGGCTGTATAGGGGCTAGTTTTAGGGGGTACAGCTTTTCCCTCGACTTTCTAGTCTTGTACCCATCTTGACCTAATACAATCACACTTGCCTAGGTATCTTAACATGGCATCTAGAGCAGGTTCTTAGGACCTAAGATTAAGGGCCCACCCGTTACCGTGTTACCAACTGCCTTGCCTGCCTGTGTGCCTAGTCTCCTGACCGCGCGCGCCTCGGCTGCGCGCGCGCGTAGCTTTTTTTTAGCGCGCGCACTGCTGCTGCCAGCCGCGTCGCGCCCCGCACGTCGCCCGCGCAGCCCGCCCTGAGCCCACGCGGCCCCACGCACGGCCCGCAGCTGCCCCGCGCACGCCCGCGCAGCCCGCCCGCGCAGCCAGCGCGCAGACCGCGCACCGTCCGCGCGCAGCCCGCGCACCGCCCGCGCAACGTCCGCGCGCAGCCCGCGCACCGCCCGCGCACCGCCCGTGTGCCACGCGTCCGCTCTAGCCGCGCGCCGCCCATCTTGCACTTGCCTGCCTTGCGCCTTACCTGAGGTGCGCCTGCCTGCCTTAAGCCTGCCTGCCTTGCGCCCTGCCTGAAGTGCACCGGCCTGCCTTGCGCCTGCCTGCCTGTAGTGCGCCTGCCTGCCTTGCGCCTGCCTGTCTTGAATCAACACTGCCATCATGGCGACACTTAACGTTCTCGCATTCGAGCCTGACGGTCGCCCGATAGAATTTGCCACTTGGCTTGACGATCTGCAGCTGTTCCTCATGACGGATGCCAAAGACGGCGTTTCTCTGTTCGATCACGCGTCAGGCACTGCCCCTGCTCCTGCTGACAGTGCTACTGCTCTCGACCGCTCACAGTGGCAGACTCGTGATGCTGCTGCGCGCCTCGCTATCCGCAACCACCTGACGATCACTGAGCGCGCGCATTTTAGTCAGCACAAGATTGCTAAGGCGCTGTACGACGCTGTAGTTACGCGCTATTCCTCCCCAGCCACTGCAGCCGTAGGACGCCTCATCCTGCCCTACCTGTTCCCCGACCTGTCCTCGTTTACCACCGCTGAGGACCTCATATCTCACCTCCGCGCTAGTGACGCCCGCTTTCGTGCCGCTCTTACTGACGAGTTCCTCACCACGAACACCCCACCGCTATACTTTACCCTCTACATCCTCGTCACTCGCCTCCCTGACACTCTTAGCTCGGTCAGGGACCATTTCCTCGCCAAGGACCCTACCACTATCACTCTAGCCGACTTCGAGCAGCAGCTCCTAGCAGCAGAGAAGAACATCCTCGCAGTAGGTGCTGCCCGTGGCACTCCCCGCACTCCCCTCTTTGAGGGGTGCTCCCCCTCCCCTCTTGCCCCCTCCTACGCCTCAGCTGCTGCTGCAGTCGACCTCCTCGGTGCTGAGAAGGTTGCAGCGGCTTCCGCTCCTGGTGGGAAGCGCGGCAGTGGCAGGGGCGGCAAGGGTGGCAGGGGTGGTGGCGGTGGCGGTGGAGGGAGCGGTGGTGGAGGAGGCGGGGGTGGTGGCGGTGGTGGGGGTGGTCGTGGGGGTGGAGGAGGTGGGTGGGGCGGCGGTGGAACCGGGAGTGGTGGAGGTGGCAGCGGAGGTAGTGGGGGAGGAGGCAGTGGTGGTGGCGGTGGAGGTGGGGGCGGGAGTGGGACCGGCCAGAAGGGGAGTTCCAGTGGGGGCCAGCAGCAGCAGCAGCAGCAGCAGCAGCAGCAGCGCCAGACCCCCTCTTCTCAGCAGCTCCATGACTGGTATGCCGGGCGTGGGGCGTCTGGGGGTCCTGGTCGCTGCCCCTATGTCATTCTCACTGGCCCCCGTAAGGGTCGCCCATGCAACGGCTTTCACACTGAGTACCGCTGCTTCGCTAGGCTCAGCGACGCCTGGCGCGCCAAGTTTCCTGATGCTACTGAATTCCCCAACTGGGCAGATCTGCTTAGGCGTGATGTACCTATCTTTGATCTTGACCATGATGCAATCCTTGCTGCCATGTATGCATTGACTGTTAGTGCTGAGGGTGACTCTTACTTGTGTGTGCCGCCTGACCCCGGTATAGACCCAGGTATAGCGCCTGCAGCACTAGGTGCTAGTGAGTCTGCTCTCCCTGGTACTGCGTCCCCTCAGGCTTTGCACACCTTTACACTTGACTCTGGTGCTTCCCGCTGTTTCTTTCGCGACAGCACCACAGTCACTCCCCTTCGTCGACCTGTCCCTATCTCACTGGCTGACCCCTCTGGGGGCCCAGTGCTTGCACGGTCCACCACTGTGCTTCCGTGCCCGGCGGTCTCGTCTGGTGAGCT